TTTCCCTAAAAATCTTAAAGTCATTTGCTAACTGGCCAAGCAGCTCTGCAGTCTTTCAAACTCTCATGGCATCAGGCATTTTACCAGTGAACCAGACTGTCTGGTACACCAGTATAAGAATCGTACCTCCACAACAGCTGCAAGAAGACAAGCTTCCATTGTCAGGTAGCTGCTGCAGAATGTGACAGTGATAGAGGGATTAGAGATGAAGGGAAGACGCAACATCACCTGATTTCCAGTCTGTTCAACAACAGAAATCAGAGGGCAGAAGCAGACCTGATCAACAGTAGGAGAACCAGAAATGATGTAGGTAACAAATACTATCAGTAATCAATATTTCAGCCACAGAAATAACAAAGCAAAGTACAAGTGACTAAACAATACCACCTTAAACAGGCACTCTATAAGGGCAAGTGTGTTACACATACTGGAAGTGGGGGGGGGTTTTCTCCCCCCAAAATATTGCTTCTTTATTTTAAAATGTTCCACCTTTCACCTCTTTAGTATTTACCCAGAAAGATTTTGAAAGCCATATTATCCTCATGTTATAAATACAGAACTTAACAAAAAGATCTAAGGAGTCTACAAAAAGGAAAAAAAGTGTACTTTGTCCAGTAGCATTGCAAAAGTCTACTTTGATAATCCTAAAATAAAAACAGAGAAAAATTAACTTCTTTATAGTGCTACACATTTGAAGCACCTTCATTTCAACAGTGCATTCAGCATCTATCAAATTAACTAAGCTACAAGAAACTGTAGCCCTTATGTTACAATAACGTGGAAACTGATCTTCAATGCTTACTAATGGCAAAGCTCATTTTTAATCCTACTTTGCATTCAATTACCCTAATAAATAGCTATTTCACCATTATTCATTATTATATTTAAGATTTTTTTATGATCTACTCTTGCTATTATAAGGCTATATTAGAATTGCTTCTCTGTTTCTTTAAACATGGCTTTTGCTTAAAGCAAACCATAGCAACTGCAAAGAAGTTACCTGCACCCCCTAAGCTCAGAGCGAATTGCTCAAGCATTACTAATTCTGAGGTGGGAGGAGTTGAAGAAATGAGGTCTTTTTATATAAAAAGCTTAAATGACTCATGAAAACTCTTTTGGCATAGCTTATATATGCTTGACAACAACAACATATATAGCACCTTCCATTACTCAAGTGCTGTATAAACTAGTTAGAGTTCAACAATTAAAACCCAAAACCCAAACCCCACCTTTATGACCAGCAAAATCAACCTCATTTTCATGTGACAAGGAGTAGAACTTAAGAAAAACATTGGGCATAACAGGCTATTTCTGAGGGCAGAGAACTGGTTGTTACTGAGTAAAGTTTCCTTATCAGCTTTATAAAGTACCTTACACTTGACATTCAATAAATCAGTGTTTAAAGAGTATAAGGTACCTGGCATAACAGTCGAGGAGATTTCCAGTTGGCCAAAATGACCTGTTCTCTCACAGACAACTCAATCATATCCACTTACGGTTTCTGACCTTGACCAAATTTCCAGGCTAATCACCAGTAATGGCACACTGTTACAGAAGAAAAACCTGAAGATTTTCTTCAGCACTCAAAGGGAAGAGCCACATACTAACCACAGACGATTGAACTGAAGCCAATGATCTGCTGAAAACGTCTATTAAAGAGGAACCCAGATCAACAAGCATCTCTGGATCTGAATGTCTGGTCCACACATCAGTAATTGTGCTTGGTAATCATTTTCATAGGCTAATCAAATTACAATTGCTTTTTGCTCTCCAGCACTCTTTTTAGGATATTCCAGAATCTAGCTCCACTAGTGATCTGATACTTATTTTCACACTACTTTGAGCTAAAGCCAGCTTATATACACTACTTTTGTCACCTACAGATCTTTCTGTTAGTCCTGCTTCCAGCATGCAAACCCCTGCATCATTCTCTGTCAGCTAAACATTCTTGGTCGTCTGGTCAGCACAGCTAGACATTTATACTGTATTGAGTGCCATACTCCTGGTCCCTTGACTTAACATGAAAGAATTCATCTAATAGGGAAGCCAAGGCTGGATCACAACCAAAGACTCAGTAACAATATTGCTCTCCCTCAAGATGTTGAAAAAAAGAAGTCCAACAGAAGTAAGATCATGTGTAAGCAATATGCCATATAGTGGCGTATCCAAAAAAACTATAAAGTATTACAGACTGCACAAACAACCTGATATATGTCCTGAGAGATGCCAAACACCTGGCTCCACTGCTTTTCTCTGCAATCACTGCAACTTAAAATCAAAAAAAGGAAATGCAGAAAATTTCTCAAAGTGCTGCTGGCCTTCCATACTGAAGACAAAGCACCCACAAAGGAAAAGCATCTATCCATTAGATGACACACAAGTAGCTTTCCTTAATCAGAGACTAGCTAACATTAGAATCGGGAAGTGAACAGAAGGCTCCATACATTGCTACTGCTTCCACCTACAACCGTTATCTCAGTTCCTCTGCACCCTATACTGGCTACCTACCCCACAGTATTCCCTTTGTCTTCTCCCACTCAATTTTCTGCTTGAAACAACTCTCCTCCTTTTACATGCCAGGTAGAATTCTCTCCCTTTCTTTCAATACTTCCTTACACCAATTCCCTCCAGCTTCTTTGTTCCACTAAGCTCTGTTGGGGAGTTTCCCATTGCTATTATCTACGCTGCACAACAGGGGCATTGCTTCAGTCATCATACACCTTGTCATTCAAGAAGACAAGTGTGGGCTTGAAGACCTTCTGTAAAGCACACCTGATGGGGCAACCTGAGATCTCAGGCCTTAGAGTGAATAGCTGCTCCCTTTTAGCTGTTCATCTAGCAGTGATAACTAATTCTTCAATCCAAACTAAAAGCCTGAAGGGGAATATGCTCACATAAAGGACAGAAATGAATTCAGAAATCCCTGTGCTCTGGTTTGGAATCATCTGTCAGACAGGTCAAGACCAGAAAAATAGCCATTCTTTCACATCAAAGACAGCAGCATTCTGGGTAATCAAAGACCAGCCTTGACAGAGATAAGAGTTAATTATGAAATATATATCAAGATAGGGCTGGCAATTAGCATTTAGTGTGCCACATACAGCACTCTAGAAGTACACACCCAGAGCAGCCAGGATGTGCTCTTTTACAGGTGCACATACCATTCAACCCAGTGCCTTCCAGCCTGTATGAATCACCTGGCAGCTTCTGAGGAATCTCTCTGTTCCCCTCAACGTCCTACAAGAAAAAAATTCAAAGCATTCTTACTGTAATTTACTCCCGCGTGAGAGGATCCCCCTAAAGACGCAGAAATCTATAGTAAGCCCAGAGCTCTTCAGCTACATCAGATGTGCAGACATTCCAGGTCCTTCACAGAAACCTGACCAATCTGAGTGCTTTTTACTTTACTGCTTTGCTTTCAAAGCATGTGCAGTACTTAATTCTTCTGAGGCACTTTACGTTTCCGAAACACTGTACAAACACCAGCTAATTAGAGACAACTAACAAGAATCCCAAGATACTGAATCTCAGTGCGTAACAAGGATTTTTGGGTTTTTTCCCCCTAAAATAGTGACAGTTAAGGATTGAAAGATGCCTAAGAGTGTGTTCTCTGAACTGTGGAACAGTATCTTCAAGCAAAAGGCATTGCATTTGAGACTTCCATACCACCAGTGTATAGGAAAGACCCAGCTCAGCCTGGTCAAATCGGAATGGATCTGGTTCACCGGTAACTGCTGAGAAGATATCACACACACTGCCAGATGCAATTTCTATTCACAATAGACAGCCACATTGTACATACTCTTCTCCTGAACTGGCACTACACTGAAGCCATGCCTCTAGGGGCTCTGTTCTGAAGAAAACAAGCAAAAAGAAATCGCTAATCCCTTAATTAGGGGCACCCACTTCACCTTCTACAGGAATAATTTAGAAAGTCTGAATGGGCCACATGTCACACAAGGCAAAAATTTAGTAACTGAAAGTGACTCAGATTGTTGGTTCGTTTCTCTGTACCTACACTCAGCTGTGCAAAGCTACTGAAGGGAAGTACTCAGTGTTAATTGAGAACAGCTTCACAAACCTCTCATCACCACCTTTTTCAAAAGTCATCCTCTCTCAAATTACTGATGGGAGTTACATTACACCAGCCAAGTTGCTGATCCTCAAGCACAGCTCCGGGAATACACAATTAGGGCCACGTTCCCTTGAATTTTCATAAACCTCTTCTTTAAGCCACAACAGCTAGGGGATTAACCGTACTTTCCCTGCTGAGCTACTGCACTGCTTGCAAGATAAGAACAGAAGCACACACCATATCCACGAAAGAAGCCTGTTAGGTCTCATCATCCATTCTGCTACTCCCTTCCTCAACCCTCCCACACAATGTTTGCATCATAAAAGTCCTACAAAGCTACGTCCACTAGATTGTGAGTCAAATCCCATCATACTTACCTATCTCAGGATAGCAGTGGCATGAACCAGACTATCTACCGTCAACACAAAGGTCAGAGTTAAAAGCCTCTCCTCCCTCCCACTGACATTTCTAGGTTGCTCTCTTCAGAAGGAGCTGCACACACTATTCTATGTGTATCCATCTCTTACAGTAAAAAGGAAAAGTAAGGTCCACCTCCCTTTACCCAAGAGCCTACCTTCTTTCTACTCACAAATATCTGAGAGAGAAACACTACTGCATAAAACATTACTCCATTTCTCCAATCAGGTAAAGAGGGACTCAGGTAATGAAACAGAAAAACAAAGACATTTGGATACCATGGTGATCATGGCCAGACAAGAAAGTAAATTAGCTACCATTATGATAATGACCTGGCTTTCAAAAAGAGGTAATTTGCAAATAGCAACTAAGAAGCAAAATAAAGATGCTTTAACAGAATTGCTGCTTGCTGTTTAACCCTGTAGCAATGGAACAAGCGGTCACAGCCACCAAACAGCCACCCACATTGGGCTTTTCATATTTGACCGTCTCTGCAGATGCAAAGTACCTGACCAGAGCTCCCTCCAGGTGTAATGAAGCCTCACTCTGCATTTCTTCTGGTAGCACAGCAGTTTGTGCACAATCTGAATGCACCGTCTGGAAAAGAGAGGACAAAGAATTAATTACATTGCATTTCCCAGCAATTCTACATCGAACCTGGAAATGTCTCTGGAATGAGCAGCAGGGAAATAGACAAACTCAAATCCTCCCATCAGAGGAGGATGGGGCCCGTGGTTTTGGGCTCCTAAAGGGAAGCAACACCCACAAGAAAGAACCAGACCAGATGAGAGAAAGGGACTTGTATGCAAGTGATTGGACCGACTACAGATGCAAGTTTGCTGTTTATATTTAATATTTTCCACTCTTTGCTGCCCTTACCTGAGGACCTCATAAGCTCTACAAAAGGAGTTACTTAACTTGCAGGCTCCATATGTATGAGATACCACACTCAGGTTTTGTAAAGTCTGGACAAAATGGAGCTTTTCAGTTTCTTTGTGATTCCCTTTAGCCTCATCATTTGGGCCAGAGTCAAACAAACTGCAGGATTTTTAGTTTGAGACATGCAGTTAAATTACATAAAAAGAAAGATTTCTGTCAAATTTTCCAGTCTCCTTAAATAATTTAAGTACGAGCTTTGGAATGATCAAGAATACACCTACAATCTCTGAAATCGCCCAACATACAGCTAGTATCCTTGTGAAGTCTCCAAATCCTGTAGGTCTCTATAGCATCTAGTGTTCATACAAACTCTTAGATGCACAAAAATTCTCCACAAATAACTTTGGAACTAAATACACAATGTAATGAGTAAATTCTCTAGCACTAGCTATCATTAAGGGCAAGACAGAAAATATATACAAATCTGAATTTGTTAGGCCAAGCTCTTTTTAGTTATTGACATTTAGAAAAAATAGAAAAATAACTTCAAAAAAGGAAAAATTCTTTTTTCCCCAAATTCTTATTTCTCAAAACCACATTATCTCATTAACATCAACATCTCTCTGAAAAGACACTACACATCAGAAACACAGAGAAATAAAATTTTAAAAATCTGCATGGACATTACTCAAAATGGGGTGAACAGTTCAAAATAAGGCTTTAAAAAGCCTTAAGAAATAACATGCACAAGGTTTACATTATTCTTTTCAGACCCTTAAATGATCCCAAAAATACTACAATGGAGTAAGGACTGAAACTAACTTTAGAGTAATAAAGGTAAACCCATTTATAATAGCTGAGCATCACATTAAGCGCTGTATTTCAAATTGGATTCTCACAAACTCAACCAAGAAAAGGAAGCAAACCTGCTAGGATACAGACAGCTGTCTTCAGATCAGGAACAGCCATTGCTCTGGGGAGAGACCCGCTATTTCTGATGTTACTGGTACCAGACAATGCCCAGCACCTTTCCACTGACGTATTTGCTTGGCTGTAAGATTAAAATTGGCCTCTACAAAAGAACTATTTAAGACACTGACCAGAGAGAATCTGGCAACCGCTAAAACATTTACAATTACAACAGCTGTTAATGCAAAATACTTTGCAGACATATTTCAGCATTGAAACTCTGTGGTCGTATACAGTAACATTCAGCTTTCTGGGTGAAATCAAAGCATGGAAGAAAAGGGATGAGGAGGGGCATAACAGTCCTAGTACCCCTGCCTGAGGAGCCAGAGCACCAGCCACCGGCCTATAGACTCCCAAACTACACTGCTTTAGTTATGAAGTTATCCATTCTGGTGGCGTGTCTGGTTTTTAGCTGTGTGCTGAGGATTCATAGTAGACATAATGGACAAAACCCATCCTTGGTCAAAGCAACCTGGATTTCTCTTTTAAATATTAATATGCCCTCCCTTGAGCAGCTTCATGTTGTCACCTTTTAAATGTATTGCAGAGAAGTATGACACTATTTGTGCATTCAGAACACCCACTTTGTCTGCAATAACTGTGTCTGCTGTGGGATGGTTTCAGACAGGAGTGTAGTGAAAGGACTGCACAAACATGCCAAAATGAATGGATACAGATGTCCACCGATGGCTGCTACTGCTCATTATTTTTACTCTCATCGGGTTTCTAGATGTGATCTTATTTTTCAGCCCAAGCATTTCACACCTTTCTTGTGAAATTCCAGTGTACCACACCCAATTACAACTAATTCTGTAATTGTCATTACAAAAACATTTCTCACAAACTCATAATTGAACTGTACAACCCTTGCAAAGGCACTGTAGTTGCAGGGTTATTTAGGTAAAATCAGAACGTGCTGAAAAGTTACCTTAAGGGAAAACAGCCTATGTATCTTTATCTCTTCTACAGAATATTGTGCTGTTCGAACCCTGGGGAAATTCACTACTGTACAAACAGTCAGAGCAAAGCCAATGCTCTACCTAAATACTATTTCTGCCCTCCAGGCTAAAGCAGAACAAAGCATTCCAGGGGCCTCCTGGGACACATGGAGTGCTCGTGTGTAGCCCTGTCCTCTCTTTTTCTGCATTGCTAAATTTTACCCCTTACTGCCTAGCAGGCTATTTCAGGCTTAAACCTCTCTCCCACTCTCCACGTTGCCTTCCAGGCCTTGCGTCAGTCATCCTTGGTTTTTCAAAACTGACGTTTCAGTTTCTAGTCCAAGATTCAGCTTCTGGAAGCAGGGATTCTTGCAATGACTGTGTATTCTGAAACTTCTTTCAGATTGAAAAGCTCTTTGTATTTGATCAAGTAGATTAGGAAATTGGTCTGAAAGGTGGAAATTCATTTCACTTTCAATTTTCTGGCACACAGTGCGTTTTAGACATAGAAGTTGTTGCTGGAAGAGTTCATGAAAAGCCATCCTGCTCCCCACCAGCCACAAAGTGTTATTTCAGCCAGAAGATTGCTCTGTGACTAGAACTCCACCCAAATTCAAACTTCAAATGAAGTCACAAGTCATCCCACAGACACTTACACATAGAGATCCATAGGAAATTCTTTCATCATGTGTGTTACAATGAATTCCACCATCAAATCTGGCAGAAAAGAAAATGATAAAGTAAGTATTGAGCTAGCTACAGTTAACTTCTAGTAGACAACAATGAACAAGTCAAACTACCCCAAACCTACCTACCTCTACCAGACAATAGTCCTGCTTAAATGACAGAAAGTTCACTTTTGTTTGTTTTAAAGAGAATTAGACGTCCTCTGGAATTAAAAAATTAAAAAAAAAAAATGCTGGAAACTGAGGGTACATAATGTAATTTGCTTTCAGGCACTGCTTCCCCATATGCTTTCTCCCACTATTAGTCAAATAAAGAATTCACCATGAATTCTGATGCTTAGAATTGCTCTTATGTTTCAAGCCTTGTCACTAATGGAAAATTCCATTGAGAAGCACATTTTAGAAAATCATTCTTACCAGAAATGATGCACAACCTAGATGTTTACTTTAAGGGAAGATATTGTAGAGAACACCTATTTTTCCCTAAAATAAATTCTGAAGCAATCAAACCTAGTTTGATCTCAACACAGGCTAAGCTTCTGCTTAACTCATTCAGAAAAAAATATAATAAAATAAAATAAAAAAAGGAGAATGTCTTTAACATTAAGGGGCTCCCAGTGTGAGGATAAGAGGTGAATAGTATAGAAATACAATTGAAAGAGATAAGTTACTATGGCTCAGCTAATGAATACTAACTGAACGTATGTCCTCTGCGTAACACAACTTCAGCACAAAATGCTTAACCCATGCCAGTGGTAACAATTGTGAGATGTAACCTCCTAGGGCACTAATAGCCCAGCAATATGACTCAATGGGGACTAAAAAACAGTAAAATCTGATAGGTCTAGAAAGATTCTTCACACAGCTGTTGTGTCTTGGCTTCAACAATCACCTGTTTGAAAATGCTGGAGACTGAGATTGCTTCCATATCATCAGGCTTAAGAGTCACTCAGGGATCCAGGCTCCATCCATTTCTGCACCCATTTATGCTTTTGGCCTCCACAGTAACAAGTGTCAGAATTTAATCATAAGCTGCGTGAAAAGCTTTCAACTGTGCCTCCATATCCACAGGCAAAACCAACCCTAGCTACTGACACTCCTGTTGGGTTTTTTGTCAGAAAAGGCTAAATGTCCAGCAAACACCTTCCCCTCAAGAGACACCTGTTCTTTTTGTAGGTTTGCCCTTGTCATATCATCTAGAAAGTACCTGTGACCCCCTCTTACTACACTCGCCTAAAACTCTGAATTTATTACTCCACTGCCCTCCCTGTTGTTACTTATTCGGGTAAAAGGGGCCAACAGGCTTTTGCAAAACTTACTGTAAATGTACATAGGATTTCTTGCTACAGAGCAGCAATCTTGGATTTAATTTCTCTGTGAGACAGCCAGGTAGAGATGGATGGTCCCTTGCTGGAAATATCTTTAGTACATAGCCACCCTCCTTTCAAGTCCACCCACCCCTCCCCTTAAACCACAAATCTCGTATTTCTATAGCAGAACAAAAGAAGCTTGGGGAACCACAAGCACACACACACACTCTAACAATACTCACCAAGCACCGCACACACCAGCGGGCGACAGGGCAGGTTCTTGTCTGCTGCTTTCTTCCTATGTCTCATTGGCTTCAAACACAAAGATGAAAAGAAGTCAGTAGAAGCCTGAAGTGACATTCTGTGCATTACCATATTTTTCATGCAAATCGTACCATCAGCACAGGCTTCCCTTTGCCTTTTTCTCCAACTGCTATCTCACCTATATTAATCCTAAAGGCTGTGGATGGAGCAAAATTGTGCCCGCTTTCAGCATGCTGACCACCGGGTTTTTGTTTCTCTAGCTGAGTAACCGGAGGGCACTGTTATATCACAGGGCGAAGAAAAAAAAGAAGAAAAGAAAAAAGAAAAAATTCCTCCCCCTTAGTTAACATTGATTTTCATACAGAAGTCTGATCTGCATTCTTAACAGCGTGTGCAGTATTAAATGGCTTTGGTCTTTATTGTAACAGATCAGAAAGGCTAATTGAATGGCAAGTTTGTTGTTGGAATGACTAGCATCCCTGCAGTGTGCTCACTATAAAGTCAGATGCTTGTTTCTGCCCTGCACTAGTGACGCTTTCAAGTGCTGCTGCACTGTCAGATGAGGTGGAACTTGCCAGTACCACAAAGACAGAATGCATCAAGGTAAGATAACCATTCAAGTAACTTGTAACTAGAGCTTCATGAGCCAGGTAAGGACATTTCCTCCACAGACACCTATAGGAAAAAGCTCCCTGAAGGTGAGTCACCCCACCCAGGATGAAGCATAAGCCAAATCAGAGCACTCAGTCTAACTGCAGCTGGCTGTTAATAGATCACATAAGGGCTAATGCTTGCTGAAGATTAAGGCAGAACATTCTCTCTGCCACTGATTTCCTCAGAGACATCATAATACACAGCTCCTCCCCAGCTACACAGGCCTCTGAATTCACCAATAGGACAACCAGTTCTTTGTTCTTTGAAAGAGTGAGACATTCTGAAAGTGATTTCAAAATCATTTCACAACTGCACTTCTCTCAGTATTTCCACATGCCTTGGCAATCTAGGTTAGATGTCTGTGACACAGTTTTCAACATACAGGGACTCAAATCCTGTGTGTTCTCATCCCAAAGAGAAAACAGACCATCTGGAGGAAAAGACTCACCATCCTGTGTAGGTTTACTCGAAAATTCATGTTGTCATCATGGAGAAAAGCGTTAGCATACTGATCCTATGGAAAAAAAGCAAGGAAGGACATATGAATAGCCATTCAAGTGCCCAACACCTTCCACTTAACTCTCAAATCACCTGTGCTTCAGTGTAAAACTCCCAACATAGAGCTATAAGGTTAGAAAGCCACCTGTCACCTCCTCTTGTCCCCACCCATGTCTCCAGTCACACAAAAGTAAACCCCTTCTGATCCCAATTCCACTTTAACTAAAGTCTGCACTACTGCTTGTTTTGTTATCAATTTGTTTTCCATTCTCCGCTCATCCAAACTCTGGACCGCACACACCACAGTGTCAAGATTTTAACAAGTTATGTATAACGCATGAAGTGGTTCTCCAGCATGCAAGTTCCTGTGACTGTGTGGACAGAAGTTTTATATTGGCATTTTGATGGACCCATCATGCCAGAAGTTACTGCACTATTAGCACGTAGCTTTATCAGCTGTCCACCCCTCAAGGAAAGCTCATTCCAAGACCAGCTTTAAATCCAAGTGATTCCTCCAGATAATGCACAGCCAGGTTCAGTAATAAATACCAGAACCAAAACATGCCCTTGCTATATAGAAACAGAATTTCTTATCTTGTATTATCTATGCATCCACCTGAAGAACTCAAGTGCCAAAACCATTTAATCACAAATATCTGAAATGCAGATGATTAGCTTTCAGACTGCACCCTGAAGAAACATTACTTCAGAATCCTTGCATTGGCTATCAACATCGTTCCTTTTTTATTCTTTGTTAAGACTGAAAGGTCTTTACTTGCAAGCAAGAAAAACGCAAATGCCACACAAACTCAATCACCATTCAGGACATCAGTCAAGCCATTAGTACATACTTCCCAGGAGAGAGGGCCGCATTCAGCCAGGACTGCTGACACAGCTCTGTGAGCTGCCTTCTCACCCTACTACCAGATTTGCTACCTGTCTTGCTTGTAGGGACCTACAACCATGCGGCTTTCTTTCAGACTCTTCTTAGGCAGGAAGGATATGGCACTGCCCATGTTTAGCATGAACAGCACAGAGCTGAAAGCCATTAGCACATTACTCACCTAAAAGCCACACCACAAGGTCACTCAACAGCTAAGAGAGAAAAGGCTTAGGTTTCTTTCCTCTCTTCATCCCTGGAAGTTGGCTATCCCAAATAAGATGATCCAAGTTTCAAGTTTCAAGTCAATTTTAACAGTACTGCATCGGGTTTATTAACAGAACATTAAGTGCCTGAGGTCCTCACTACTCAGTACCACTGTGCATCTTCAGCTCCTGGTCAACAGTTGGCAGGGGATGTGCATGCAGATAGAGCCCTGTAACACACCACCTACTGAACAGTGTCACACAAGAAACCTACCTCTGCTATGCACGTCAGGATAATCAGACACAGCTTGCCACTGTGCAGCCGGTGCTCATCTGCAAGAAAAAACAAGTCCTGCATGAGCCACACAAGCCTAGCAATGCTGAAGAGTGAGATAGATGTTGCAGCAAGGGAAAAGCCCAGCCTTGGAGATTCTTCACACTCCTACTTCCTCCCTGAACAGCTAATAGTCTAATTACTATCATTAAGCACTCATCCTCCAGCCTGACCACTAAAGCTCACCAATTTTTCACCACTCTGCACCAACAGCAATGTTTCTGATTTGAGCCTCCAACCGCACTGTAACTATTAGTGGGGCTTCTGCCTCATTCGGTTTTATTTCCACAGATATTCTAAATACTGGGGTTAGTCCCTGTCTTTCTGTCACAGCAGAGACACACTTTTCCCTCTCTCAGACAAGGTGGAAAGAAAAAGATCACCTTCGCTGTAGGTTATGAAACAAGCAGCAAAGCTTTGGTAGAGGCACAGCATAGTGTAGCAGAATGACTCCTGACATTATGCTGAAAGTCCTGAGTTTTAACCCCAATACCGAGAGACGTGACCTAGTTTACTTGGTGCAAAATCATGAAAGAAGGAAGTCTGCAAAGACTTAGCGTTTTAAGCCAAAGGAATTCCATCCTGATCATGTTCCGCAACTTGTTATTCATCTTACAACTTCAAGCAGCTTTTCCCTGAATGACAATTGGAGGACTGAGAGACTCACAAATAGAGAGGTACTAAGGCAGAAAAATGTGAATTTTATTTGGATTATTTAAAACTCTTTTCTCTCAATTTTAACCTTGGGGAAAAAAAAAAACAAAAACAAAACCCAACAACCAAGATACAGTCATAGAGTGATTTAGGATGGAAGAAACCTCTGGTTCAATCCTTGCTCAAAGCAGGGCCAGCTAAGATCACGTCATTCAAGGCATTGTCCAGTCAAGCTCATTTAAAAATCTTTGTTATAAAAACCAAACCATTCACAGCACACACTCCCAAACCACAAAAAACAAACAAACAAAAACCAACCACAACACACCTATAACTAAATTCTGAGGAAGCTGAAAACTGCACATTCATGAGACCTCCAATAGCTTCGCTAAAGCGTAAGACTACTAAACATGTCATACCAGGCATCTGCCTTAGACTTAAACTTGGAAGAAAGGGAAATCTGAAACAGTCAGACCACTTTCATATAAATCTGAGGACAGCATCAGCCAAACTTCTTGCCTCTTTTTCAAACACTTCGCTAGTTAGTGTGCATATGGTAATCTATAAACATAGATAGAATGGGGTTAGCTAGCTGTTCCGTCTAGTTTGCTTCCTTTGTTTTCTTTCCTATGCTGCTGAGGGACAGATATTTACTAACAAGACGTGCCCTGAGGTGTGCTGATTTCATCTAAGATGAAGAGGAATTTCGGAATGGGAGAGTTAATAGTCTCTCCTATGTCTCCTTACCTCAGCTAAAATGTTTAAGTGAAAAGTTTTCTACTCCAGCAAAGCAGTAGAAATCACCTCAAAGAACTGTGATACACTGGAGCCTTGTTATTTTCCTGTTGTAAGGCCTCCCTGTATATTTTTGTAGGTGCTGCTACCACCTCTCTCTCTGGGGATTGTGCTGGAAAGGATCCTGTCTCACACCAAGTACTCTGCCTTCAGCCAATGTGCTGTGAACGCCATGCTATTTTCAGCAGTTATGGGGCAGCTATGCAGTCAGTTACTCGTACGGACACTTGGTATTTTCACAGCATCCTTCATTAAAGGAACAAAGCAGACCACTTCTTATGAGGAGGTATAACAACAGTATGAACCCTGTTTTACAGATAGGAAAAAAATGATGCAGAGTTTTTGTTTCTCCCAAGGCAGCTGCCTCTGACTGACACAAGAGAGAAAACAAGAGGAGGATCTAGCAAACACAATCTATTAAATTATGCTCTCTGGGACAGGACCAAAACAACTGTCTAGTACTGGATGTGAACAAACCAGTCACCCTTCTAAGTGTCTCCTGTCTAAAGACATGGAGTAAGTTAGAGTTATTAATTCTTCTTTTCTTGTTGCTATATTGGTGTCACATGCTTGGTCTTACACAGAAAGAAAAAAAGTTAGGCAGGGCCTCATCTATTATCAAAATATAAGGACAAAAATATACCCACTAGAATTAATAAACACTTTTTTTTTAAACAGTCAGTGGAGTTCACTGCCACATACTTCCATGGCAGCAAGGAGATTAAGTCTATAAGCCACACAAATTTCAAATGTTATACAAGCTAGAACCAAAGTAAATAAAGAAACATCAAGTCCTGTCTCATACCAGGATAAACGTATCTCTTGCTGGCTGGTTTAGTAAGGAATCCCCCCTATCAGATTTCACTCCATCTGAAACTAATCCAGTTTGGCAGTTCCTGAGGCCCTACACAGACTTTCCATATTACAGTGACTAATAAGTGCAGAAGTTAAATTGAAAAACATAAAATTGTTCCATCAGAGACTTGCATCAGCAAGAGAGACCCTGAGAAAAACAAATGAGAATGATGAGAGAGCTGGTAAGCCCTCCTCATGTGTCCAATCTATAAGAAATGACTGAGCAGAGATTGAGGTGGTTTAGCTTAAAGACAAAAGCAAGAGGAAACATGAAAGCAGACTTCAAATACATAAGGGCTGTCACGAAGAAGAAAGAAATAGTCGTTCTCAGTATCTATCTTGGAGAAGATAACTAGTAATTAATTTAAATCACAGCAAAGAATTTAGGATGCACATGAAGCTTTCTCACTATAAGGGTAGTTAAAAACTGGAATGGATAGTCTAAAAATGATACTCCATTATCAGAGTGTCTTTATCCAACCTGTTCACAACATTTCTGAGAAAAGATAAAGGTAAACCTGATTCTGCCTTGGTTTTGAGGGCTGTGCTAGATATTCTTGTGAAGTCCCTTTTGGCCCTAATTTCAATTATCCACTTTTTCCACAACTAGCCTGCATACTGAACAAGAACAAGACAACCAGGTACAATTTCACTGCAAGCTAGCAGCTACAAGGTAACTCTCCTGCCTGCTCTGCTATACAGTGCCAAGCATTCAAGTTCAATAATCGATGTGTCGTAGCTCTGCAGCTGTCTCCCTATTTTTGTTCAGCTGTCATATCTAATTTAACAGCAAAAGTTGGTAATGGGCTGAAATACGATACAATGATCATTTGTTGTGTCACGCTATGGTCCTGCCCATGGGCAAAACAGCACCCTTGGGAACCTTGAGCAGGAGATGAAGGAAGGCTTCAACTCCAGCAAACTGAAGTTAACCCCCACAAAACTACCAGGAGAAACAAAAAGCTCAATATGGAAGTATATATTGTCAAGCATATTACTGTAAGTCACTGCTGTCCTCTTTATAATTAAAGAGCTGCCTGTTTAACCAGCAAGTACCAAAGGACTAAGGAAATATTTCCTCCTAATGCTGAGCTTTGCCTCCTGTGTCAGCTTCTAAATCTTCTTAAAAATACAGTTTGCTGGTACATGACTTCCCCTCTCTCACAGACAGCATCGGAGAATCAGACATGCCGACACCTCCTGCATAAGGACAGGCTTGGTTATTAGGTACTATTATTATTATTATTACATTCTTTCCATATTTGACTTCTCTCCTGCAAGCATTAGGTCTCTCCTAGTCTCATAACTCCTATCTTGCAATAAGAAACAATTTCATTTTCTCAAAAGGTGGAATCTTTAGTCCTCTAAAGGGATGCCAATTAACTTCTATTTCTGGAGTCACTAGACACGTTCTTATGTACTCCTGACTTCAAGAAGCTCTGCTTGCTGCATCCACAGCTGCATCAACAGAATTTACCTTTTGTGTCCTGCATCACAATCGAGCTGTACTTCAAGAAGGTTATCAGCAGGTTGCTAGTTTGCACATCAGCATCCAAAGGCAGCTCTGCAGAGCTTATAACTGGAACAAAGCAGATAAGATACGTTTACCCTCCACAAATACAAGAGATAACTATACAGAGAAGCAAGTCACAGATGCACAGATCTAGGATAGGATCAGCTTATTTACAGGGTTGCCTGACCTCCTCTCCCTTCATGACCACCCAGCAAAGATTTTGTTTTGAAGACCGGTACCACTCCCCCAGAGACCTTTTCTCCTGCTCTAAGTATAGGTTGTGGTACCCTGCAAAGCGATGTCCTCCTCTGTCCTGCCCCACAGCCCCTGAGGGAGATCAGCCTGCTGTTTTAGCACTCATCAACATTCCCAGCCTAGGGAGCTCAAGATACTCTCAGCAATATCCAATTAATTCTTACAACCACCACAACTAACATTCACACCATTCTCATTTTGGGAAGAAACGTGCCCAGCAAAGACCCTTCTCAGTTTCAGCAATTTTGGAATTTCAGTTCCAACAACAGCCTCTTGCAGAAGCAACACACAAGACAGTACTGTAACAATTATTGCATGACCAAAATGGTAGAAAAGAGACGTAAAAAGAGCAGCTTTATAAAAATCAAGAAGCAGAAGCAATCGTAGCTTGTGCTAGAGAAATCACAACACAGCAGGGAGCAGAAATGTACTTTCCATACCTGCAGCAGAACAGCAGCTCACTGGCATTTCTCTAGGATACAATCCTCCTTACCAGCAGCTGTGCTTTTGACACCTTAACACCGGACATCATCTGCCTTAGACTTTACAAGAAGCTATCTCAATTACTCAGCTAATTGCACAATGTGCTCCTGCTCACTCCCCATGTACCATCTGAAGCACCAAGTTTATGAGCTGTCAAACATCTATCATGTGCCTGAGCCACATTTTTACTGATGACTGAGGCCGAGCTGTCCGCAAGGGCCATTCTCAGCCTCCCCACTCAGAAACGCTTTACAAGAAATACTGAAGCGGGGAAGGATAAGTAGGATAAATGCAGCAGATCCTGCCAGATAAGTTTGACATCATTTAAGATAAATTAGCTCAGACAAAAAAACAAAAAACAAAAACCCACAACCAAAAAAACCCAAAACTGGTAGAGCTAATCTAGGAGAACTTCAGTAAAGCATTTAATATGGTTCTGTATGAAAAATTAAGAGCGAAGCAGATACGTGAGAACCAATACAGAAATTTAAAGTATATCAAAGATCTGGCAATTAGAGAAATTATTAGTCTGGGAAGAAGTTAGTACTTGAATTCCTTAGGTGTCAGTTTAGGGAATAGTTCTCTTTTTTGTGAGTGAGCTAGGCACAAGAAACAGTTGTTTTCTAATGAATCTGCTAATGGCAGAAATTTGGGATATGTAAATACAGAGGAATATCAGACTGCACACAAAGAACGGGATGAAAACAAGGACCAGATAATAAATACAAGATGAAATTCAACAGTGCAAGTCATAAGGTCAGGAATTCAGGGATTTATTTCCATGGTAAGCCGAGAGCTCATCAGCTGCAAAAGAAACACTGTGACACCATGGTACACTATCAGATCACGAGATGACAAGCAACCAAGACAAAGCATTGAAGTGTGGTCCTACAACATATCCAGAAATGCACTTCCATCAGAGGTAAGAACACAGTAATGCCCTGCACAAGGTGCTGGCAAGACCTTGTTTCGAACACTGTGCATAATTACACTGATCCCATGTTCAGAGAGGATGAACTCATACTTGAATAAGTTTAGAGACAGGCTAGTACACTGACCAGAAGAACAGAGTGCCTTTCTTATGAGACAGCAAAATACACAGGCGAGTAACCCAACATGAAAAAGAGCTACCTGTATTCCAAAGTGAGGTTAACATGATGATAAACAGGTATAAACTGACAAGAAATGCAGGTTGGAAAGTTGAAGATTTCTAACCAAGGAACAAGATGCTGAAACTGCATCCCAACAGGAAGTACTGGGAAATAAATTTAACAAATTAAGACAGAGTTTGATAAGTTTAAGGGATTCTATGATGTGCCCACAAACACAAGGCACTAGATTCAAGGAGTCAAGCAATACGTGCCTGTCCTGACATGACAGTGACACTACTGTTCTGGCTGCCTGGGAGCTCAAACTCACAAGTTTTCACACATAGGAGGTCACAGGTGGCTACAACTGCAATTGCCGCAAGGCGCTCTCTCTTCTCAAGCCATAAAGATAGGCTAAGAGAGGGGTCCCTTTGCACTGGAAACAGATCTGCAGACCATTAGGACACACATTTTAAGAACTGTGTGGTGTCTTTTCCATCTATCCTCAGGAATGCTCAAGGCTTTTCTTACTCTTGAGGAAAGAAAAAGGTATTTATGATGAGACTGGACCTTGAAAGAAGTGAGGAATCACATCTGGGTTTCGGATGCCTAGGTTTGGGGCTCTGAGGGGAAGTGATATGATCCCGTACACAACTGTACTTTGGTTCAGAGACAAGTCTGCTTTAACAAACAACATCTTCCATAATTCAAGCCTTATATGTCATAACCCTGTAACAAGGCAAGTGAGGCTTATTTGCCCCAGAACTGGGGCAAGCCGAAGCACAGAAGGATGGAGGAGTTAAACCAACAGTAAAAGGCAGGATTCTTTAAACCGAACACTGAGAGGCCCAGAGCACAGCAGAGGTTCTCATGGAGCTCAGGATTATACAATCACCTTGAATACAAAATTGTAGCCCTTGGAAACAACAGGCCAAATAGATCAATGTAACCTCACTGTTCAAATCACATCAAAGAAACAATAATGGAGCTTTTAGCTTCTAAAGGCTGCACATCCCCAAGCACAAGCTGGTTTAGTCCATTCAATCTTGAAGCTCTGGGGCTCCTGACATGTTACTAACGTGCCCAGTCTGTTGGCAAAGTCTATGCGATAAGACTGGAAGCTTTTTCACCCCCAATATTATGAATAGCTCAAAGATTTAGCTAAAAGTCTGAAAAATGTATTTATATCCCAAGTGGGTCCTTCTGGAGCTGTTACAATGAACGCAGTGAATGAATATTTAACAACAGTAAGCAAACTGACATTTAGATAACTATGGTGACAGGCACACTTGATTTACATATTATGGATCAACAGTTTCTAGCAAAAGTCTCCTTTTTTAAAAAAAAGAAGAAATCACTCTGAAGAATACATCACTGCTTATCCTGGTTCACACTACAGACCTTGATTTTTTTTTAACACACATTTTGAAACTTTAAAAAGTCTTAATTCACACAATAGGCTAACAGCCAGAGAAATTTCATACCAGAATATGAACCCATGAAAAAAAAAAAAAAAAATCTGAAACCCATAGATGGATTTCTACCTGTTGCTATAGACTTGAAAATAGCCCAACTATGCATTTTTTTAAATGCACGTAAAAGAAGAAAGCAATCTTTTCATTCCAAAGCCAAAAAGTCTCTTGTGAACTGTCAGCCACAGGCAAATTTTACAGCTGAGTTGCAAGACCTTAGAAAATGAGGAAAATTCTGACATATCTTTAAAATAACAGCAATACTAAAGCACCAAACTAAATCAGGCTGAGGTCCTCAAAAAAAAAAAATTATCAACGAGAGTAGGGATCAGTAAGATGACAGAAAATAGAAATAAAGAATGCTTCCCAATGTAATTGCTGCACATTTAGATCAGTTCCTCTCCTTAAACTTAGTAACCTTACAAGCAGCAAGAAGCCTCAAGCTTCACAAGATCACTGCCTCTGCTGAAAGCAGGATGGAGCTTTTGTTTTGGTTTTTTTGGTACATTAAAACACGGGAGTGCAAGCAAGCTGTAGATGTAGGTAAGCATAAATTCTGTCAGTTGTATAATACGGTGTGTGGGTGGATACATTTGCAACGAACATGTCGAACAGAAGCCCACAAAATGCCCATCCCTCTACATTTTATGTTACGTGCAGAGGGAGACTTGAGACATAGGGGGCTTTTTAACTGAAGCTTTTGATATCCATGGTAACCAGACAGAATTCATCCACAAGGAGGATCATCCTTAACTAGGGTATCAAATGACCTGAATAGCTGATATAACTGAGTAACCCAGGCTGCTTTTCCCCAGAAATGTTTCCAAATTGTGCTCTATTCAAACTGACTCTGTTCCTTCATTAAACACTTTCTTCAGATCTAGAGGATGCCATTAAAGTAAATGACAACAGCAATTTCATTTCTTCTCTTAAACTACACTACATCTATCCATACCTTCAATGAAAAGGGTTTTATTTGAAATTATTTCAAAGTGTATTTACGTGGACACGTAACGTCTCATTTAGAAGAAAGATCTCAGGGCTAGCAGTCATTTACAAAGGCTATCAGAGAAAAGGCAACAAGAGGGAGGAATACCTCCACACCCAGGTTGGATTCAAACCCCAATTAATTCAAAGATGGGGACAAGTGCATTAACAAGCAGGATTCTCTGTGATTCTCTGTAAATTTGTTCCAATGAGCAATAATCCCAGGCAAAGAACCTGACATTAGAAATATTCATAATAAAAGCCTACACAGAATAACTAACAGGCTGGGTGTATCTTCATGCAGATACTGGGACAGTACTGTTTTCAGAAGGAATATCAGCATAATTTCATTGAGCAATATACAAGACAAAACAGAGATAAATTCAAGTCAAAGAGTCTTGCTCATGTTTAGTAAGGCAAGTCGCTCCAGGAAGAGACCACCAGGTTACGTTCACTACAGACAGACCTCATTACTTGCCATCTTGAGAAAATGCTTTGCTAGTTATTTTACATTTTTTTAATTGTTTTTCCCCAAGAGATCATTACATTTCTTACCATCTGAAGAAGGCGGGGTGGTTCCAAGTGGAGTGACAGGTGTCGTCGGAATTGGGCTTGTCGGTGTTGTCATCAGCCCCATTTCAGGATGGCTCTAACAGAAAACACGAATGTCCAGACATACACAGGTCAGTAACTTCCCTAGGCACTCATCATACAGATCGCTACTTGTACTGTTCCACGCTCTCACACAATAGACATGACTAATGAAGTCTCAAGAAATTTCAACCTCTCCTCCAAAAAGCAAGGCTATGCTTCCTGACCTTGGACGTCTAACAATGAAACCGCACATCAATTTCTTTACAAAACATAAAAATACATCAGAAAGTCATGGTTATACCCAGCAGACAGATACCATGCCCTTCCCCAGCACAGAATGGGAAAAGGTATGCAGAAAGCCTACACTGATTATATCTTCCAATTTCCCCCTAAACAACCTAAGGGTGTGCATTTGAAGTCTTCCTCCAATATCCTTTTATTTCTCTTTCTAAAAGCAAAGTCTCCTCACTCCTGCCCTCCACCTGCTCATATTCATAGATGATGGCATTTTATTACTTCCCTGTCTCACTATAAAGCCCAGGCACTGCAGAAAAAGAGTGCATAACATAAATAACACTATCATTATCGATCCTCTTAGCTTCCATCAGTCGGTTACTCTCCCTATTTCATCTTTTCTAATAGTTGCCTGTCTAATTACTGCTTTGACTTTACTCTGTAAGCTTCCGGATCTATCCTCACTGGTGAGACTGCAGGCAATTTGCCATGCTATTTTAAGTCCGGCTGCCAAGCAAAGCGTCCATTTCATAGGGCAAGTTTTACATAAATGTATCATCCACCTTAATATATCATCACAATTTCGAAGTAAATGAAAGGGATACAGAACTGCTGATTTGATGTTAGTTCCGTAGAATTTTTCACAAGTGGGTATTCTCCACGTTGTCTTAGAATATATCATTTTATGAGCAACTATAAATGCATGTATTTTATGGGAAGCACTGATTTAAACTTTAAAATAAAATTTTTCATTGAAAATCTTACATAAACTAGGTTTGCTTCCATAGCTTTTGCTATGGTGTTTACCTTTCTTTTCCCCAAACACCAACTGTCAGTTGAGAGATAATAGTGCCACCTAGCAGAAAAAACTGAGGACCAACAAGCTGCTAAGTATACCAAAACTTTAACACTTGAGGCATCAACACAACTGTATCCCTGCTCTTCCTATGTGACCACAAAGCAGCAGTCCCCAGCAATGGACACCAACTTAGACAAGAGCATTCACCAGCTTTTATGAGGGTTTTTTTTTTTTCAAAAGACAATATGACCTACCTTGCCCTCTCTTAAATGAAGGATTACGGACAATCCACCCAAGAACATCAGGACTCGACTTCAATTAAACCCACTGATCAGTGGCTGCTTCAGCTATCATTTTCATAAATAATTAGTTTATCCTTTTATTTTTAATTCAAGAGCTTTTACTGCCCCACTCTTTTCCCTGCCAGAGGTGTCTCTTCCCTCAGGTATATCTTGACCACAGAAAGGTCTGAGTTGGTACTACACAGACCTGAAAGAGCAGAAATCTCTCACAAGTGGTAAGAATGAATAACCTGGGAAAAAAGAGGCAGGGAACGTCAGCAAATTAACCACCCATGGAACAGAAGCTTTCTTCAGAGGCAGTAGATCTGCCTATCAGACCTCTTCCATCACCACTACTGTCAGGAGTCCCAAAAGGTCTCCTCCGTCATGCCAACCATCTAGCCTGTGATGTATGGCTGCACTCTGAGGACCCGAAATAACTGGGGAAAGGTGTTAACTGTTTTGTTAATGTCATTTTTCTCACAGATCACCAGTGGTACTTACAAACCAAAATTAAAAGACTAAACCTGAAGGTTTTCCTAAACACATCAGGCTCTCCTTCCAGCCAGACACAGCACGATCACTGGATCAGACAGACTCGTTATCTGTCTCCCAGCAATAACCACCTTTGCAAACTCACAGAGCGTTTAGAAAAGCATCCAGAGGTTTGTGATCACACATATGAAGCAGCCCACTGCTTCTCAGAAGGCTGCCATAGCTGTTTCTCCACCATAAACAGCACAAGGAGGACTGCTATGCTCTGGCGACAGTCTCCCAAGCAAAACGGGTTGGGCTCTTTGGGCTCTCCAAGGAAGTCTGAACACAAAATAGTATTTGAAACAACAGTCACCACAAATTGATTAGTCCCAAAGCAAAGTATACCCAGACAACAACATGCAGTCTGTGCACACCCAGACCGGACAATTCATCCAACTTTGGAGCCGGATCAGCCTCCTTCCCTCAACCCTAACTTAACAAGAGCATGAATTGCTCTGATAGCTGCAGCAATCTTATCACTACCAGTTCACTCACTCCATCGCCCCCAAGGCAGTGTCAACAGGGCACAGAAGGCACTCCATGTAGCCCTTCCCACTAAGGGGAGGAAATGGCTCAATTCCAACATGAGCTGTGCCCTCAAAACTCTACTCATTTTCTGACAAGGCAGGAAGCACTTCCTAAAAGTATAATAAACAACGTATAATAAACCCAGGCCCTGGCCCGCTTCTGATCTTTCATGCTCATCTACACCTATGACAGGTATGCAGGGGAAAAAAGAAAAAAAAAGAAAAAAGAAAACTTATCTTTTCACCAATTCCATTTCTGACTCTTCAATTTCAAAGACATCCACTACAAAGAAACGGGCAAACATCACACTGAAACTCACTTGTGCCAGAACTGTGATGAAATTCCGGTTTAAGTGAACAGCTTCATAGAGGGCCAGAAGGATTGCTTCGTTCGTTCTGTGGAAAAGATACAGACAAAAGCACAGTTAGTTAAGGGCTAACACCAGATGAGAATCCCAAGAGCAAAGTTTTTCAGAAGCATGGCCCATCCAAAAGAAGAAAATTTTTTTCAACTATATAAAACTCTGCCTCTGCAATCCAGTTGTTCTTCCAGTTATTAGTAGCACTTAGCAATCCACAAAGATAGCTATTTTTAGAGCTCAACTAGAGACTTTGTTCTCTTCTTGCTGAAGGTCTCCCTTGTTGCTCAAACAGTGTTTTCCCTTTAAAGTTCTTCCTTTTAAGGGCAGAGATTCCTACAGACATCACAAATCCTCATATTTATCACTTGCCCCCTTGATTTAGAAAACATTTTGTTGGGAAAAAGAGTGCGCGAACCATCGCTTCCAGTCTTCCACCTCCAACGTGCCCATTATATGTTAAAACTGCCTCATAAAAACCACAGGTTTGGGGTTCTTTTTATACACTTCATTACAAGCAATTCAGCTGTGGCTCCTCCTGCTGCACCCTCTCACTTAAGTGAGAATCCATCCTTTGCATGGGAGTGGTACCATTTTAGTTACAAGAGAAGTAGTCTCTCTAGTTTGCTTTGCTATGTTAGAACAGCTCCATGATGGAGCAGAGCATGTTGACCAGTGTGGTGAGTTGCCACTCATTGTGTAACTATCATCTGTGCACTTACTGGACTGAGATCTTCTCATCAGCATCTGCTATGAACATGCTGCCCACCTATGGAAAGAAAGAGTATTGCATAGGAGGAATTAGTGAAAGGTATTAGACAAGAAGAGAGAAGACATGGATTTAACTAAATCAGAAGTGCCATGGGAGAGGTGTTCTCATCACAGGCACACATGCAACTTTCTAATACTAGTAAAATACAAATGGAAAACAGGATTATGATCTACAAACACATTTTATTTTGCACTACTGTCACTGACCAATGCTTCACCTGTCAAATCACTAAAGAGGAAAAAAAGGACTGTATCTTGAATCCCAACCTGGATAAGTCTGCAATTCTGTAAGAGGTCAACAGAGATAGAATCACAGAATGGTTTGGGTTGGAAGGGACCTTAAGGATCATCTAGTTCCACTCCCCCTGCCATGAGCAGGGACACCCTCCACTAGATCAGGTTGCTCAAAGCTCCATCCAAAACATCTAATCGAAATCTACCCTCCTTCAGCTTAAGGCCATTGCCCCTTGTCCTGTCACTCCATGCCCTTGTAAACAGTCCCTCTCCAGCTTTCCTGTAGGCCTCGGAAGGTGCTATAAGGTCTCCCCGAGCCATCTCTTCTCCAGGCTGAACAACCCCAACTCTTTCAACCTGTCTCCACAGGAGAGGTGAGATCATTTCCTATCTGCTTGCCCCAAAGCAGAAGCAGTTTTGCCCATGTCGCTCCTGATAGACAGCTGTCAACACTGAACTATCCTTACTTACAGGAAATTTTCCTGTCAATTAGATCTCAGAGTACAATTAAACCTCACACTAAAGTAAAGTCAAACTGAACAAGGGCAACAGTAGATATTCTTTACAAGAAAGAGATTCACAATTGCCTTTGCCCTCCAAAACACAGACACTGTCCATTGCAGAATCCAAGCTTACTTATAGCTACAGCGCACCCAGGCTTGAGAAACAAGACCGTAAAGAAACAGATCTCTAAAGTTAGTGACAGACTAGACTTTGCCACAAAAATATTCAGCTTTTCTGTTTTAGGCTACATCAGCAGAGCAGCAACTTCCTTTTAAAAATAAGTAGCTGTTTAAAAGTGTCCAACAAGTAATTGTGATTTCTAAAATAAAGTCAACTAGAATGAAGAAAATGAAGGAAAACAATTTCAATTATCAATGCCAGAATAGGCTTCTCATCCTTTGAAAGAGCTTTCCCAGACACCACCACACTCCTCAGAATACAGCCATTTCAGTTGTATTTGGTTTGGATTGGATCAATGCATCTCCTCCTCCGAACCCACATCCCAAACTCACAGTTTTTGGAAACACCCTTCTGCTGAACTTCCATGAAGGCATCTATTTTAGGAATAGAAAAACGCTGCTTCCTTGCTTACCATATTAGTTAGGGCTGAGAAAAAACCACTCTGGTGCTCCTCTTCCTTATCTTTGTATTGCCTGAACAAAAAGGAATAAGGATGAAGCTTCAGGGTTAGAAATGGAACTAGGATTATTTTATCTAAGTTCCTATGAGACAGTCTTATCTGATAAAGATACAGGATGGAGAAAGCTTCAACATTCACAAGCCCCTTTCAAGAACTCACAAAAAGAGATGCAAAGGGTATGAAAATATTTGTCAGTTGTGTAGGGTTGAAGTGGGGTTGCTGAAAGACATGAGATTGAACAATGCCTGTGCTGTTATAGAGGACACATCCAGTCTGAGCTAAAGCTGAAGGAGAGGGACCAAGTGACTTAGGACATTTTGTCCTGCACTGGCAAAGCAGTACCTAACCACACGAACATACACAGTCAGTAACCACAGAACAGTTTCATTTCAATCATCATCTGCTACAGACTAAACCAGAGTCAATCACCCCACAGGCAGCAGAAACCATGAGGAACATTATGGTTCATGGCCTGATCCCACATTTCTGGAGTAAGTGAAGGGACTGGAACTGGAGTAAGTGAAGTCAAATAGTTTGGGTACCTCAGATTTAAGCCAAGTTGCTTCGTTTGGGATTAAAATGGACTAGCAAAGCTCTCATGGTCATTCATCCTGTCTTTCAGACAGGAATCTGGTCACATATAATGCAACATGCAAAGAAAACAATTCCATTTTTCGGGGGAAGGGGGAAAGAAACAGCTAAGCAAAACAGGCCATAGTCTGAAACAGCTTTTGTTAGAATGAAAGAAGTTGCGTGTGTGAGGTTTTTCTGCTTTTCTCTGATAATTTACTCTGTTAAATACATTTACATGATTTGCTGATCCTGCAAGTCATCTGCATATCTGTAATATCAGACCTTCAAAGAAATTAAAACATTTTTCTGGATACTTTGAGAATCCTACTGCACAAAAAAAAAAAGTCTTGGGTTGCTGAAGTGAAATTGCTGTTAAGTTTCCAAATTTTTCTGAAGCACTTTCTTCTTAGGAAAACTTACACATTTTATGATGTTGCTTATGAAGCAGAGACTGAGAACATGCTACCCCTACTGCTGACTTTCCAGCCTTTCTTCAGAAGCAGTTAATGCTTTCCACAATTTGCAAGAGCACACATCCCCTAATCACCTCTGGTCTGGCATGTGGATAGTCCTGGATACAGTTGTTTGGTTTAGATTGTGTTTCATTTAAATCAATTTTCAAACAGAGAAGTAGTCAGTAAATAATTTATCTTTTCGCTTGGGACTAAGATTTTACACAAGGTTCATAGAGAGGTAAAACCCATGATAGTAAAAACATACAATAGGTATCTTCCCCTACAGCAAGATCTCTCCTGAAGCACATCAGCACAGCTGGTATAGATGCATTCAGACTTGCAAGGATAGCAACAACTGAGCTCAAGTACCTCAAAGCATAAGACTATTCCCTGCCCCTCTCAGGGCTCTTAGGTGATAAGTGCGTGCTTTAACACAAAAAAAAAAGTTTATGGAAAAGTACAGCAACTATTATGCATTGAAAAACAAGAGACAATTAGGTTTTACCTGTTATATTCTGATAAAGCCTGGGCAATTACAAGTCCCATTCCCTGAAAAAAGCATTAAAAAAATAAATCTTTATGTTACAAATCTCAATGCAGGAAATCACACAATGAACACACATAGCAGTGCTGCCCCGCCCCCCAAGATAGCTATGCTATGAATTCTTCTTCTGCTATGAAGAATTTCCCCTGAAGCTGTTTGAACTATTAAGACATGCTATGATACAACAAAAATATCATCCAAAAATCAAGATGCAAAAATTTAAAGTTGAATATCTAATTACTATGTTCAACAGAGAACATTTACTCTCCTTGGACCTCCAGACAGAGTTTACTCACTCAAGAAGCCTCAATAAAGCAGTAAGAACTTCAGAAGGAAGCTGGTGTCAGAAGACAGATGTTCAAAAGTTCAAAACAAAGGCCATAAACACTGGTAATCTTTTCACTTCTTGCAAACAGCCTCCACCATTCCATGGCTACTGATCATCCTTTCTGTCAAGCTAATTTAATTAACTCAGAATAATCATTCTCATCCTTCAGTTAGCATGGAACTTGCTTTTTACTTCATGCCTAAAGAAGAGCTTTGAAGTCCAGACCTCACATAGCTCATGGCATGCTGCCACTTTCCATCCAGGCCTGGATACAAAACTTAGGCGGTGGCTACAACCCAAAATATGTTGCAGGACTGTTGGCAGGTACAAGCTTCCACTGAGCTACAAGAATTGACTTGTGGACTGGTAAAATCAGATGATACAGCACTGTAAATGAGATCTTCTTTGGCATAAGCTATCTTGTGCCTCTTTAGCATGTGACAGCAAATAGTGTATAGTTCATTCATAAATGTATAATGGATCGACTTTAGCATGTTCCTAACCACCCCCCACCATTTAACTGGTGATCAAACTGTCCAAATCATGAGCTGCCCAACCTATTGCAAGAGTGCATTAGGGCAGAAACCCACTCTATATAAAGTGGTTCTTTACAGTAGCACTGTTCTTAGACCTTCTTTCTACCAGCCACCATGATTGGATTCATTACACTAACCCCACACGTGAAAGAGCATCCCCAGCAGCGCAGAGGAATCAAGTCAAATACTCACATTGAGTGTGGCCTCGTCATCTACAATGGAGAGCTTCACAATGTAGGGATTCACCGACTGCTCAGGGTGGGGGGAGAAAGAAGGAAAACTGGTTTTAAGTTCAGCCTTCAGGAAAAAAATACTATTATCTTTCCAAGTGTACACAACCACCTGGGAAGACTCTCCTGTCCCACAAAGCAGAATACACACAAAGAAACAGCAGTCATAGCACGCACCAAGATTGCTATGCTTGGGACACCTTCTCTTTACTGACTCAGCCAGGCAGTCTCCTGATTTTCCTGAGAAGAGACGGAGTTTCTACTCCTCTGCTAGCTCATCTGTCAGTCTCAAAAGTGGAGCAGCTGTCCTGCAAGCCTGTTATCTCTGACACACACACTGTTATGCAGCAGGAACAAGCAGCGAAGCTGGGACTGAACATTAGCGTTCTGATATCTCCCCTCTGCAACACCTTGCAAAGATTGCTTCAAGGAAGGAGGACCCAGGAAGGCATGACAATGTTATAGACTCATTGCTGCTGGGTTAGAGCTCAACACTCTTAACAGGTTACACCACTGAGAGCTAGAAGTCTCTGCAGAATATAAATTCCTTGAACAAATCACACAGGCTCCATCTATAAAGATAAGGCCTAATAATTTAGGAAGCATTTTAGATTAGCTTTAGATTAGTACATTTGTTTTTCCTGGTTTATATGCATCAGCCCAAAACTAACAAAGTTGATTTGGCACCAGGACAGAGCAGAAAAGGCTCTACCTATGTCGTATGTCCAAAGTGGACGGGAAGAATAAAACACAACGTATGCATCAGCTGCAGCCCTACAAGTTACACAGCCGACTGATTTGCCCACAGCTTGACAGGAAGTTAAAAATAAGGGTAATCAGACAACACCACTCTCACAATTATTTGGTGCTTTGGGAGGCTCAGGCTTTCTTTTTGGTTCACAAAAGAAACTGATCAGAACAGACCAAAGCTCAGCCAGTCTGTCAGTCTGGCTCCAGCAGCACGCAGCCCTCTGCTGTCTCAGAAAGACAGAAGACTCACACAGAACCCATCTGTGCACAAAGCATGCAAAGACATTTCCTTGAGGCTGGAGTACAGGCTCCTATTGAGTAACAATATATGGTCCTCTCTGTACAACCATGCTCCCCTTCAGAAATTAAATTTAGTCAATGTCAGTAAAGCAGAAACAAGCTTCACAAATTTGTAATTAAATATAGATTAAAATCCATTTTTGTAAATACATCTTAGTTTTGCTAATTTCAGTCATTCTCTTGCTCTCCTTATACAACAAGGAGAATCTCTCACACCACAGCTCATGCACAGAAGAGAAGCCAGCCTGTGACTCACGACCAATTAAAGTGACAGGGCTTTTCCAGGCAATAGGCAGCAGGGCTATGCTGGATTAGAGGCTGCAGGGTTATCCCAATTCCCAAATGTCGGGAATAAGCAAACTGTGCGATACTACACTGACCAACGCTACCAGGCTGCCCTGAGACCAGGTCATACACTCCGTCCCATCACACAAAGGGAGGGTGAGGGGGTTCATTGTGATCTCCAGCCTATGAACAACTCTTCACGCTCCCGTTGTCCTTGACTTTCCAAGATGCATGCTCCATGTCTCCTGCCAGCAAGATGGCATCAGTACATGGCTGATTGGGTCACGAAGCTGGCCTAGCCTGCTACAGATCTCTGGCCTCTATCTTTTCAGTTGTCATTTCCATATCTGCAGAAGTCTGTTTAATAATTCCTGTCTGAAGTATTCTATTCCCCTGACACATTCCATGCCTCCTCTAGGCTTCTCCAACTCCTCAATCAGCAGGCAGATGATTAACCAGTGTAATCCACACATTGTATTTACTCTATATGCAACAAGGCAGTTTCTAGCACCTTTCAGTGTGCAAGTCTGTACCAGTGCGATGAGAATATTTCTTGTGCTGCCCACAGGGCGTGCAGTTTGCTCCTGCCCCTCCTAGAGGGCCAACAGCTCCAGTTATTGTCTATGAGCATTAGTCTGCACATCTACGATGAATGTCAGCAACCTGCAAGTTGTACAAGCACCTCTAAGCTGACCCCATACTCCCTGCCTGCCTCCCTATTCTAATCCTGCTGTTTCAGAGTTCAGTTCCCCTCTCACTGGGAATCACAGCAAAAGTTTTAAAAGTCTGAGTTATGCTTGCCACTCCACAACATGCAGAAACATGCAACAGCCTTGAAAATTGGTTGATAAGCATTTTGAAAATTTCAAAGTACATCAATGAAGCAGTTATACAAACTTAGAAATAGCTTCTGCCTCCACCTGCCTCCAGAAAGAACTCAAAACTATGATTCTCAGCTCTTCAGAGAACACAGGGCTTTCCCTATCGCTGCCATTGCATAACGAACACTACAGCATTAAGGTCTTTTCGTCGGTGATGAGGTATAGACACAAATTCCTGGTACCTGGGAATACTCAAGATGTCCTCCATGAACTACCCACCATTGGATGCCAATGATCTCTTAGAAATGAAGGTGGAAGCTGCAGGGAGATCACTACCAGGCAATTTTTAAAGTTAGCGCAGGTGAGACATGCCATACAAAGTGAGTACTATATGAAGAAGCACACAGGTCTGGCCGAGGCAGTGAGATCTCCTCCATGGCCCCAAATGTACCTCCACCATATAACATGGGAATAACAATACGGGAAACAATTTTTTTTGTAGGAAAAAAAGCAGGGAAAAAAAGCGCTAACCATGCATAATCCCTAGTTAGGTGCTTAACTTATCTTCGTATCTGTAACACAAACGAAGGCCAGAGTCCACTCGATTATCCCTTGCAAGACTTTTCCCTGAACACTCATTAGCGATGATTCAAGCAGCTTTGCTGCCGGCCCTGATGAGGCCATCTCCTCTGCAGGCAAGCCATTTTGCAGGGAATTGGAGCTTGAATAATTACTCTTTTTGTTACAGAGATTCATTTAAAATTGAGTTGTGTGAGACTTTTTTTAAAAAAAATAGTAATAATTTTCTGACTCTTCAGTGTTGCTATCTCTTCAGCACCTGTAGCTGACTATATCAAGGAGAGGCAAGTGCACGTAACTGGACACAAAGGGCTGTCAGACACATTATATGCTGCCAGACAAACACACAAAGGGGAAAACCCACATTTTGACTAATTTTTTTCAGTTCTGCCTAGCAAGAGACACGATACACGATTCTAGCAGGTTGACCATAAGGCAAAGAAACTTCCACCTAGGTGTTATCAAGGAATCTGACTATTTAAAAGTCATTACCTGATTTTGTTTTAACTTGCTATTCTAGCAGCCATCCCTTAAAACACTAAGAAAGTGATCAAATATTCTTCCTCGCAGTATCTTCTCTGTTTGGCAGCCTTTTGTGTACATTTAGTTTCACCAATTTCCTGATACAGTTAATTATTTAGTCTTTTATGTTTCTCTTTAGTATATGTTTACCTTAGTATGAAGGTAAAAATATGTTCTCTGAAATCAGGACTAGGATTAAAAAAAAACAAACATGAACTATAGCTGAAGACTTGAATAAGTATATACTTGGATCAACTTTTTAAAATTGTTAGGTTTCACATCAGGGACATCCCTTTAAAGGCTCCATGTAAAGACATGTAAATAATTTTTACTCCTAGAACAGAAGTTAACAAGCAAGCCAAGATCTCAGCTACACTGGTAATGAAAACATGGACAGATATTCCCCAGGGAATTTGAGGAGACACTACAAAATTCACATCCCAAAAATAGAAAGAACATCCTGATGCAAAACACACTGGTATTCACATTAAAGACAGACACAAACTCATGGTCAGCTAACGAATTTTCAGCCTAATTAGATTTTCTTAAGCAGTTGGAAACACAATTTAGCAACCAATGAAGTTCCGAACAAAAGAGAACGTATCAACTGCAGCAGTTAACTAAACAGAGAACTCCAAAGGATTTGAGGCATGGAAGTATGCTACAATACACTGACAATCAGGCAACAACCAAACTGTCTCTAAGGGCCAAAGAACAGGAAATGAAAGCAGCTATTCTACTTAAGGACAAAGATTACGACTATATTACTACAGGCTTTGCTTGTAGCACTGCTTACAAAGGGCAGAGTCAGGCAGCCGTCATATAAAACCTTTCTTCAAGTTGCTTTCAACCTTGCCAGGTGAACTTCTCAAGCTGAAATTCCTCTTGCTACATGTCAGCCTCAGGTCGGATTGTACTTTTTCAACATTAGCACAATTTCTTTTGGGTGCCCAGTTTGAAGACATCTAGGACAGTGTTTTCCAAAGCACTCAACCCCAACTCAATACTCTACAGAAAGCTACTGCAAAGAGCAGAGGACAAGTCTCATGTACTCACAGCACTCTACCTTGCTAGGGACCTGAACTATAGTACACAGGGATCACAGAAACACAGAATGGTAGGGGTTGGAAGGGACCTCTGGAGATCACCTAGTCCAACCCCCCTGCTAAAGTAGGATCACCTAGAGCAGGTTGCACAGGATCGCATCCAGGTGGGTTTTGAATATCTCCAGAGAAGGAGACTCCACAACCTCTCTGGGCAGCCTGTTCCGGTGCTCGGTCACCCTCAGAGTGAAGAAACTTTTCCCCACATTCAGATGGAACTTCCTGTGTTCCAGTCTGTGGACTGGACACAGGACTCCAGATGTGGTCTCACCAGGGCAGAGTAGAGGGGGAAGATAACCTCCCTCGACCCACTGACCATGGTCTACTTAATGCCCCCCAGGATACCACTGGCCTTCTTGGCCACGAGGGCACATTGCTGGCTCATGGAGAGCTTGTTGTCCACCAGGACTCCCAGATCCTTCCCTGGAGAGCTACTTTCCAGCAGGTCAACCCCTAACCTGTACTGGTGCTTGGGGTTATTCCTCCCTAGGTGCAAGACTTGCCCTTGTTGAATTTCATTTGGTTTCTCCCTCCCAACTCTCCAGTCTGTCCAACTGTCTGAACGGCAGCGCAGCCTTCTAGTGTGTCAGTCACTCCTCCCAGTTTTGTATCATCAGCAAACTTGCTGAGGGTACACTCAGCAAGTACCCCATTCAAGGCATTGATGAATATATGTTGAATAATATTCCATAGCTCAGGGATGGGACTACACAGCTGTCCACCCTTTGACCTGAATGTTGCAATGACACCTCTGGTCTTTCCAGTCTGCCCTCCTAAGTAACCCTACCCATATAATTCCCAACAGTTTTCCCTCACAGCCATATACTGAAACCAAACTCCATGCTCCTGTTTCATGCTACCAGGGCACAGACTGCTGAACAGAATCTGTAATTCAGGATTCTGACAACTTTCACAGGAATGAGAAATTAACAGGGATTACTTTGACACTAAGCATAGCTCCTGTCTTTGCCTATTCTCTACGTCAATTCATAAGTCAAAACAAGATCTACTATAAAACCAGGCAGGTTTTGGAGCCTGCTCCCTCCCAGTAATTCTGTTGAAGAGGGGGTATTCCAGCACTTTCCCATTTTTTGCCAATCTAAGTATATTAAGATATTCCTAATTATGGGAAAAGATAAGATTGATCATTAAAGCATCCTGCCCCGTGCAAAAAAAAGCCAATATTAGGTGTTTTTTTGACACTTGAAATGCTTCTTTTTCAAGGTGATAAATAACAGAAAAAATGGGAATACACCACAAAGTAGCACAACCAGTTTAGAAAAAGGAAGATGAATAAAGTTTCTCAGAGAGGAATCAGTCAAAGAGAGACAGAGTTCTCTCAGAAATAGTAGCTGTGATGTTTCAGTTCATTCTTTGGTCACAGCTTCACCATCTCTTCTGAGAACTGTGCTCTTTCAGGTGCTAGTCAGGTTCTGAATCACAAATTCAGTCTGAAGCCCAAGACGACTGACAGTTCGTTTTACTTTGGAGATCACGTATAACTGCACATACACACACACAGAGGCAAATATGCAAGTTTGGCACAACCGTAATTCTTCCAAAAGGACCTTCCTTAGAATACTTTCATGAGGGAAATGCAAATCCCCTAGGTAGTTTCTTTCATGCTTGCACAAAACGAGCTGTATGAATATCATACACATTTGATTATACACATATGTCAGAGACGGCTACAGTTAGCATAATATGACTGCCTTGCAAAACTTTTGTAGCTCTGTGCCAACACCCTGATAAATGTTATAGTCTGTACCGCTAAAAACTGTACTGTAGGCTGCCTTAATAATCCAGTGGCCAGTGTAAATTAATAAAGTAGAGAGAAGTGATATTCCTGTTATCCAGAAGAATACCTACCTCATACTTTCTGTAGTTGACCAGCAAGGCAAGAAGGACAACAGCATCATAGCCATGTTCCCTGCGACTAAGTGGGCTGGACAGGATCTGGAATAAATAATCACACTGTTCTGTTCAGGCCTGCAGACAGAGCATGGTCATGAAATGTATGCATAAGAGCAAATTATGTCCTAACTCAAAGAGAATATTTAAGGTTGAGGGAGTGTTGGTGCTTCCAAGAAGTTCTGCACACAGAGCTTATTTATTACAGAGAGCATGCACATAGGCTTTCTGAGCATAAAGGGCAAATACATTTCTCAACAGCACTGGACAGTATCTCAGTGCATCACCAACATTATCCATGCAAGCGTTTTGCATTTCTCCAAGCCCAGTTCCACTTCTAAAAAGTATGATTTATCAAAGAGTAGAAAAAACCTCAATATATCCAGACTGCCTTCTGAAAAAAGTTCCTCTGATACAGGAATTCTCTGTGAAATTAGCCCAGAAATCTGTTCAGCTTCTATCTATGCACAAATGTCTCAAGTGAAAATACTTTAAATACTCAGTAGTGACTAAAAACAGCAGCCTAGAGTAAGGAGGAAACAGAATTTAAAAAAAAACAAAAAAAACCAACCTATGACTGAGCTATGAATGGAAGCAACACACAGTGCCAGTCAGCAATGCTGCACTGAAAAAAGCTGAAAAGCAAATATATCACTGAAAGCTCTCACTATGGAAGAAGAGCCCCTGCAGTAGAAGGAAGAACCCTTACCTGTAAAATAGCTTCAAATATGCTATTAATCATCACATACTCCAGGATGGTGTTCTGGCTAATGTTATCTGTCACCTGAGGACAAACATAAATTTTAAACTGTCACCCAAAGCCTCCCATGATTCTGTAGCTGCCTTCGGCACGCGCTGGGAACAGAAGAGTTCTACTACCAGATGGACACATTTATCCAGAATCTCACACTTAATCAGCAAGTCAAGATGTGACTAGCAGTAGAGCTAAACATGAAGTACAAGAAATCTGTCCTGCCTTCCACCCCTCCCTCCAGCAAGAAGCACGATCCACGTACTACGAGCTCCCCCTTTCCTCTATAGATTGATACTCTACATAGCTGCATGACAACAGCCATCGGCAGCCAAAGCAGGCTGCTACACAGGAGGCAGAGGACAAAAAACCAGGGTGCATGTGCTCCACCGAGCACTTTCCCATCACAGGATCCCAGAACAGGGCAGTGAAGACCTCTCTCACACTCTATCTCTTATCGCAGCCAAAATAGTTCACAGATGACCATTTCCAAGAGATACTGAGTGGCCACTTGTTTCAACTTCCTCATTCTCGATATCCTCACCTCTCTTGTCTACTCCACACTTCCTGTCTTTCCTCAACCCCTCTCCTCTGCTCCCTTTCCATTTATCTGAGACTTCTTAAATATTGTTTTCTCTAAAAAAAAAAAAAACCTCAACAAACAGTGAATCCAATTGACACTTCCTCCTGTGTCTCTCCCCTTTTGCCCCACTTGGCACCTATCTTACGAGGTGAAAAAGGTCTGCTAGCCTGTATTGACATTGTGGTTAGAGCAATGATGCATATTCTGGACTGACCCTGGTTCTCATTTTCACCATTTCTTTCCCCTTCTTAAGCTTCATGCTGCAGCATTCTACTCAAGTTTTGAGACAGTTCCATCCCTCAAGATGTGGCTCATATAAGCCTTTAAGTTATTATACAGCTGGTATTTATTTACCGTCACCAAGCAGAGAAGTAGCTTCAGACACAAGCTTTTGAGGCTTTCAGAACCTTCTGCACAGAGGAGCGAGTCCAAGCTCTCCATCAGATTCTGAAGAAGAACAATCACATTATTTAAAAACAATATTTTAAATTATTTTAAATGTTTGTTATAAAAAGCTTTTTGGGAGATTCAAACACAAAAGTACCAATATAAAGCTGTGTTATTCCAGAATCAATAATTGAGCCATTACTACTGTTACACAGGCCATATTTGCACTATTGGTTCTCAACATTGTTTTGTGTTAACTACATTTTAATGACTACAGGCATATCATCATGATCATTTTCCAAGAGCTTTCTCTAGATACCTTATATACATATAACAATAAGTTTTCTTCACAAAGTAATTCTGAGCTCTACAAATACAATCTTCCTTTTTTGTTGCAAGACAGTAATATGAGTGCTTTCTTTTCTCAATATTCCATTTTACTTATAGGCACCATGAGATTTTTTGTAAGCAGCACACCTCCAATTTAATAGTACATATATTAGTTATGATTAAAAATATATACTATATAGCTGTTTGACAGATATTCATAAATTGCTTTCCAAATTACAGATAATACAGTTATTCTTAAAGGAAAAATATAGTTCTGATAGGCAAGTTACTACTTCATATTTTCCCCAAATGTACTACTATTTGTAGAGAGATGTAAAATTACTACTATTTGTAGAGATGAAAGATACAACAGGAATTCAGCTTTACCACTGATTATTTTGTCATTTCTCAAAACTCAACATCTTTACAGTGAAGAGCATCAAATAAGTTTAAAATGGTACATGTGCTGATGGAAATGTGAGAACACAGGATATGACATCAGCTAAAAATTAAGCACAAGGTGTGAGGCTCAATACTAAGTACTAAGGGCCTGTGACAGCCTTTTCTGACCTTAAGATTTCTTAACCACTGTGACAACACAGCATGGAACTAAAGGAAAAGAAAGAAAAGTGCTCTGTTATATTACCAACAAACATGGGGACCCCAAGTGTTTTTGTGCCACTAACAGGTGAAGAACTTCAGAATGAAGAAAGAATTAAAGAACTTTAAAGGGGCTGGAATATTTCCCCCAAAAGCTGCCCTCTGGTAGACACATTGTTTACAAATCTCTGCCCCTGCAACATGCCTGTGGCACAAACTGTTTCTCTACATTGCCAGGGCCTCACCTTCATGCATAACTCTGCCTTATCAAAACCCACAAGCATGTTGATGATGTCAAAACCAGAAGTGGATTTGTTCTTCTGATGGACTCCTCGAATCAATGCACACAAAGTCTGCAAAGGAAAACATCAGAGGGTAAGATGTAAGGCAACACCTACAACTCAATAGCAAAACCCGCCCTAAGACCCACTCCTAGCACTGGCAAAGCACAGATACTTAAATGAGTACCCCCTGCCTGGAAGCCATACATTTTATCTGACCTTTCCTCCACCTCTGTTGTTTCTAAGGAGGATCTTGGATGCTGAAAACTCAAAAAAATTAAAGAATAGATTCGTCCGTATTTTTCCTGTTTGTTCACCCCTTCATTTCACAGCACTCTGAGGAAAGGTAATCTTACTGCTTGTTCTGTCCAGACCCAGTTTGTACCAGACAGGACTACGACCTCTGGAAAATAGCTAAGTGTGGCTTTAAGGCCAAAAATATTGATGAGGAAAATGCAAGGCAGAAGCAGTGTCCAAGATATGGATAGATATGCCTTAGAGTTTTTCAGATTAATTTCTTATTTCAAGCATGCCAAAATGTACAACATCCATACAACAGTTTATCACATTATACCTGTGCATACAGCAGATGCTTTTGCTATAGAGAGCACACATTTCTATTTGGTTACCACACTGCTATGCTATGCCTGACAATAAACTTTTTTTTTTTTGACAAAGGAAAAAACTTAATACCATCCTTTCAAACTAATTCTTCATAATAATAATAATGATGATAATAAAATGCCAAATTGTATGTCAGAGATGTAAATATTCTGTTTTAAAACGACTTTTCCCAGCTTACTGCCTGTCCAATGTCTCCTACAGGTGACTTCCCCAAACCTGAAATTCGTATCCTGTATTATTACAGCTGAGAGGAGTTGAGACAAATGCATTCACCGAACTGTAAGAATCAGCCTGTGAACTAATAACATCAAACATCAAGACAGAGGAGGGGCGTCTCCCCCACAAGACACAGGATGGCATAGCTTTGGCAAGGAGCAACCTGCAGGAAAATGGCTATTAATTCTGGGTGACAACTCTTCACAGCTTCCAATTAGGAAGAGTCCAGCAGGGACAGTCCCCTGTATAAATTTCACACTAACTTCTCCAGAGCTTTATTTCATTTTCTATCCATATGGAAATTCAAAAAGGAAGCTGAAATGAAGGAGAACAGGAGAAAGTAGAATACAAAGCTACACAGAGTACTCTTGAGCCCCCAAACTGACAGCCTGCAGTGTGAACAAGCCCCTTTTATCCCCGCTCATTGCCATCTGCTTCACCCTGCATCACCAGATCCTCTTGAATTCTGAAACAAGCTATTGTTCTTCACAGACTAAAGAGACTAGGAATATTTGTAACCTCCACAGACAATAAGTAGCAACTGCTCTGTAGACATCACTTCTCCTCAGAAGCAAAGAAATGAGCACAAGACATTTGATACCAGCAGCAAATACATTGTCTCATCAGAAGCAAAGACAGCATTCCCTATGTCTTGGTGCGGTACCTGTAATGCATTGACCACTCTGATTGGGTGCTCCTCACCCAGTGCCTGGATGCAGTGCTGAAACAAGCAGTTGATGTTATCTTTTATCTTCATCAACTCTTCCCCATCCAGAGCCTCCAGCTTGCCTTCTAGATATTCCAAGTTGACCTGTCACATTAAGAAGCAGTTCATGCATGTTACACAACCACCAACACCTTAGAAACACAAGTCCTTGCACGGACAGTCTGCCACTTCATAGGCAGAACAGCAGCAGCAAGTTAGAGGACATTCAATTCCTGTTACCTTCATGAGAAACAGCTCCTCCCAAAACCTAGGGTTGCATTTACTGGGGTCCTCTGTCTGAAAGGAAAAGGAACAGCCATGAGAGCCAACAAAAAGAAATCATTCAAGCAGAATTTACAGAAAATCTTTATCATGAGTAGCTCAGAGTCAGCATAATCCCACTGGAGGACCAAGTGGTCTCACAGTATAGAATTCTGTCTACACAGATTCCCAGAAACAGAAGGACAAACTGAAGCAGCTCTCAATTGAGATGCCTCTGTTTATTTTCTGGATTATTTTTTGAGAAATACTTGAAAAGTTGTGACTTCCCATACATCACAAACTGGTAGAAACAGGACAAGGTGACATTAAGGAAGAGAGCAGAATAGAGCTCTGCATCACAGCAGGAGAGCCTGAAGTGTGTGCCTACACTGTGCAGTCCTCACCTTGGGAAAAGAATGCACCATGCAGAGCCCTCAGCACAAACTAAACCAAGAAAATTTAACACAACACTTTAGAAAGAAGAGATGCTCAAGTCCTTACCGTGAAAATCTCATCATACATCAAAACAACTTTCTCCTTCAATGGCTTCTTGGAGGCTGAGGATTTCCGGAGCAGCCCACCTTTCTTCTCTGTTTGGGCCATGCTGTATACCCTGAAGGTAAGAACAAATAGAAAAGCATAAGGGAACTTGAACTTTTCTTCAAGGCCTGCCTCAACCATGAAAGACTTTTTGACTGCACTGAAATACTAACATTGTCTCACAAGCTGAAAGTAGGGACTTTAATAACCATATCAGATAGGAAATAGATCAAAGGTCCCACCTAGTCCTATATCCCATTTCAAAGAAAGACGCAAAAGTCCAGACACAGGCAGATACAGAATAAGCTCCTTACGGATAAATTTTCTTAATTCTGCTAGAAACTGATCCAGACCAATGCAGTTTACATCTAGAAAAGTATGCATTTTTTTAATCTCATTGCATGAACTGTGATATTTGTTATCAAATGGATACCCAGTCTGTTTCGACGCTGGTCAAGCCTCAAGGACACCTTGTGACAAAAAGGTCTTGAAACTGTTTGAAAAAATCTTCTCTTATCTGTTTAATTTACTGCCTATCAAAGCACTTCAGATTCTGCTTCTGCACTCTGAGGCGGCATCCAACACTAAGAAACATTTGGCTGCGAAGCCTCCCTAAAGCACTCCTGCCACCCTGGCTCAGATGCACCTTGGTATCCGTCAGCTGCACCAGCTGCTCTGCAAATCAAGCCAGAGAATAACCCCAGCCTCAAAAGCATCACATGTGGTTCAGTTTTGGGAGGAGGACAGAAGAACACAAAGGAGAAGTTTTGCACGGTTTTTTTTTTTTAAACCAGATGAATTTCCTGATCCATTTGACAGCAACAGGTTTTCTAGAAACACAAACAGGATTTACTATAATTAATTGGTGTCTCATACTTACTGGTTATCCTATTAAGAAAAATAAAAGGAAGTATCATTATTATAAAATGAGCTGTTACAAAAAGTAACAGCCATAACTGTAACCTTCTGTGACAGTCAACCCATTCCAGGGGCTGAGAGTCAGAACGTAGGACTTGCCACGTACTCTCAACCTTATGTCTGATACTACAAAGCACATCACCACTCTGACCTTGCAAATACGTATTTATCTGCAATCACAGATTTTTCTGGTGAGCCTCACAGCTTTAGCACTGTTCTAACCTTCATCACTGCAGCTTTGTCAGAGGTGCTTAGCAGAAAGGGAATGCCATCCCTTCTCATATCCCTGAGCTCCCGACCTTTCTCCCATACCTCCAAAGGTAATTACATACATGGCAACAGCATACCTCAGGCAGAGGCTTGACTTAAGTCATGCTCCAGAAAAACATGGGCAGGCTCTTGTGGTAGCTGCACTCAGCCATGCTAAATTATGCATGGAGAGGTAAGTTCACTGCAGTCAGCATCTAAGACCCCAGAGCTTTCCGAGCTGGCAGCTGTGGAGACAGCTTTGTATTTAGCCGCCATCCCAGACTGCCTGAACCCTTTCCACAACCACAGCACGTTTAGATCTGTCCTTCCCTCAAAGAGCAAATGCCAGCAACTATTGAATGCCAGTTCTAGATCTCTTCTACACACACTGCAGACAGCTTCTGATTGTCTTAAACTACAACTATGTTCTCAACTAGGACTCTCAGGCTCCCAGAGCTGGTTATTCAGACATCCAGCCTTTGAGCCATACATCTCAGGAAAACATCTTTGTGCCTGGAGAAAGAATGCTTCTGCAAAAGACCCTACCCCAGGTGTGAAGGGAAGGAGCTTTGCCTGGTTGGAAAAGCAGAGGGAAGGACAAAGAGCTGCAGATCTCACACCTGAAAAGCTGAGATCTATATAGAAAGGCAGAGAGATGTTGTTGTCTTCCCACTAGAAAGGGAATATGCATAGCTGGCTGGATAAGGGCTGGCGCATGTGCTGGGGTGAGAATGGAAATAGCCCCATGACACATTGACAGAAGAAAGCTTAGCAACTACTGTAAACACCAAATTAGTCCTGTAGCCTAGAAGGTCTACATATCCAATTACGATGAAAAAAGGTTTCAGTCTAACAAATGAAAAAGAAAACATTACTCAATCATCTTGATAACTTCTCTTTTACACACTCTGCATTATTTTTAAACTGTCATGGGAAATAAGACATTATTCTAATTAGATACATAATTGGAAACAGAGAAATCTATTAAAAACCAAATCAAGAACGATGTCACTTTTAGCCTAGCAATACAAATCTCACCCAAGATTGCACAAAACAATTTCCCAGCTAGAATTTTAAGTTTCTGAACCTAAAGCAGCCACCAGACCCAGCATACAAACACATCCATCAGCATGCTTCTAATTGAATTACAGCTAATGAATCCCAATGTCAAAACTAATAAACTAACTCTCAGTGCTTCTAGGTCAGCATTCTCACATCAAATGCGTACGTGAATGGGAAGGGATCAATACGCTCTGCTTAGTCCCTGAACTTTGAGAGCTGCATTTTAACACTTTTCCTACATTTCCAGAAAGACAGAAAAATCTAACTACCACAAGACACAAAGGCTTGATGCTGGGTGAGCAGAGGGATCGCATGATCATGTGAAAATTCTAGTCTCTGTCAAAATGGGACCTGGGATTCATATTCTCTCAACCAAAGCTGCACAGAGCACATACAAAGAAGACTGCTAGAGGCAAGGATTAAATAATGTTCTTGTTTATAATTTGCTATTCTATAAATGAGCATACGGAGGAGCAAGGGGAAAAAAGCAAAAGTCGCCTTTCATGCCAGCGCTTTTTTAGGCTGTGCTTATTTCATGACCTACGATGATCAGGCTGTACAAATGGCTTTTCCTTTTCACTTTATCCAATTACATTTTCTAGATGTCATAAAGACAGAAACAGGAAACTGTATTTTGCTAATGGGGACCTTGTAGGCAGCTACAGAAAACAACAGTTAAATGCACAAAACATTTATAAATAAGTTGTAGAGGTGTCAAATTATCAGGACGCTGTGACAGCTTATGAAAACAACGACATTGAATATAGTTAACAATTATCCTTTAAGCGCATCACATTTTAAAAGCATCAGGGCATTTTCCATGTCATAGGTTCAAATGGATAATTTATTCTGTCAATAGGTCAGTCCCATTAACACATGCTGCTAAGTGAATCCTGCTGTAGTCAGTGACTGCACAGGAGAACTACCCCTCAGGGCCAAGAGAAGCACACGCATATGGATTTTTAGAACAGCAAGTACTTTGCTGTGCAGCAGAAGATCTAAGATGCTTCATCTGGAACTAAAAGAAACCTTGACAGAGCATGAGTCTTGGCAGCTCAAAGGCAGCAAGATAAAAGCCATGGCATACTGAAGTTCAAGCAGACTCTTGCTTTATCTATCATCAACCCTGGGATCAGCTGATCCAGTCAGGAAGAAAGGGATGAGCACACCCAACCATCCACCTCCTTTCCATTTCATTCCAGAACTCATAGCAGAGATTCCAACCAAACATGTGACATTCTGATGAACACATCTCTGTCAGCTTTTTGTTAGAATATCCACAGGAAAAATTAACCTGACATTTTGAGGCTGAGGTTGTGCACATTAAAGTGCACTCAGACTTGTGCACATTAAAAACTGTGGCTGCTCCACATTGTCACTCAGCTCCTGTACAGACTTACTGTTATTCCACCTTATAACAGCAAAAACACGACTGTAGAGAACATGACACTAATGCACATCTACACTATAATGACATCAGCATCCAAAACTTGTAACTTCTGTAATCTTGCATGCAGCCCATCAAGCGCTGTATTTTACATTTAATTGCCTAGGCTAACAAACCTGAAAGTTTAAATATTTCAAGGCTAGTAGTTGCCCCCAACAACACCTGCCCGCACTTGGGACCCAGTGTGATCATGCTTTGCCTTTCAAGATATTTTGCTGGTATCTCACTCAAGCCTAAAGGAAAGTTGTTCAAAAATTATCTCAATCATGCAAGAGAGGGAGATAAACCTCTGCCTAAAAGTTAACCTACAGCTTCTAAAGCAACGCATTATAAGTAGTCAATAAACCCTTCAGTGAAGTTCCAGGAAAAGCTTGCACTTAATCCACATGATGAATCTACAGAGTCAACACTGGACCTGAGCAACAGGCAGTTAAAACACAAGGTTCCAGCACTCGTCCATCACTGGAAGCAACAGACAATCTGCACTCAGCACAAGAGTTTATAAACCCCAGTGCACAGACAGTGCCTCGACCCAGTTCAAGCTCCAGTATTAAAAGCCCCAGGACCACCCAGCAGCGGCCTGGCAGTCCACTAGTGAAAGCAGAGAGAGAAGGAATGCATTGGGCTAGACTTTGTCAAGGCTTTATGACCAAATTCCTGCTACAAGCCCTTTTGCAGTTTATTCTCAGTTGTGGTTTGTGCTAGTACATCCACACTTCTTTTATATTTCATCCATTCTTTACAACCTTGTTTGTATATTGTCTATTGGAATGAAAATTGCTCAGACTGTACCTTCCTTTACAACTGTAAGATGCCCAACCCCACCACGAAGGGAAGCAGTAACACAGCACACAAGCCTTGGATCCATCTGGCAAAGTTTCCAGGTGCCTTCAAGCAGTATATAAAGAGAAATATATTCTGAGGGTGTGCTGATGACAAAACCCCCCATAGATCCTACTTCTTTTTCTGCAGTACCACACAACTTAATCTCCAGCAGAGTCCCAGTATATGCATTTTTCTATCAAGTCCTTCCATCCCACTCAGAGCAGTAGCGGTGTGTGTGCTTCTACATGGTACAATCTAAAGTTATACCACTACTGACCTATTTTTCCCCCCTTGAAAAACAGGAAAAGCAGCTTCCTAATGCAGATATGGCCACAGACTACCTCCCACTACACCTGCTTCAGCAATGATATAAAAGCGTAACATCTAAGCTACATTTTTAACACTTCATCCATAACTGCTTTCATTTCTATCTGTCCAGTTAAAATAACACCCAATCCATCAACTTCACACCATCAACTAGTTAAGCTTCTTCCTGTCAAGTCCATCTAGACAAGCGTCACATGCTTCCACCTCCATCTGTTCGCACCATTTTTCCAAATTCATTTTT